TGTAATATTACGTATATAAACTTTCTATATTGAATGTACATTTAAAAATGAAATCAGTCACATCTTGTACATAAAATTTTAAGAATAAAAGGGAACCTAAAGTGTTGTTCTTTTGTATTTAGACTTGTGATGAACAGCCTGAATTATAGTAAGACAAGTTTATTTATCCAGCACATTTCAGCACCAAGACGATTCAAAATGCTTTACATTATGAACACATGAGATAAAAAAGAACTACATTCTAATCCAGACTTTAAAAAATTATGTTCCAGTTGTTAATCGAAGGCAGCCCTAAACAAATGTTTTAGCGTTGATTTAAAGGAAATCAGTGTTTCAGCAGTTTTGTGGAAGTTTGTTTCAGATTAGAGGAACATAGAAACTGAGTGCTGCTTCTCCATGTTTGGTTCTGGTTCTTGGGGAAACAAAATGGACCAGCACAAGAAGGCCTGAGTGGTTTGAAAAGATGATACACAGATAATGAAAACGTGAATTAAGGGAAACTCATGGTGTCAAACGCTAATCAGCTAATTAACTCAACACACCTGCAAAGGTTTAATCATTTTCTGGTTTCTGACACCGAAAACCCAGGATACTCAAAGTTAAATCAGAACTAAAATGGATTTTCATTATGAAATGGGGCGCGTCCATGAGCGCCTCACCTGGAGAGACACCGCGCATGCGCACACATTATCACCTGATTTAGAAACTGAAAGTATTTCACCAACAGGTATCCTTCAGTTCTGGACTCCATTTTGCGGCGCAGACTTCAGCAGTCCGTCCGGTGAGTTCTAACTTTCTATCAAACTGCTTCCGACCCGTTTTCAGACGTTTCTATGTTTCCAGACCGAACCCTAAAGTAGAACCGAGCTGCCCAGAACCTTCTGCTGTTCAGATATGATCTCTATTAGCGAGAGGAGGAGGAAATGTGATTTCATGTCAGATATTTCACTGCGCTGCTGCCATTTGCTGCTCTGGATAGAAAGTTCTTCGTCTCCGCTCAGAAAAAACGTTTTTGAAAAGTTTCCGTTGATCCTTCGACGCCTGAGGAAACATTCCTAATGACGCATGCGCACTGTGGCCTCCTGTCACGGAGCCGCTCCTGGTTAGACCAGGGGTGTTCAACATGAGGTGAGAGGGCCATTTGTGGCCCTTAGAATAGTTCTGTGTGGCCTCCAAGTTCAGCCTTTACTTTTAATAATGCTTAGTGAAAATTTCCCTGAGAATTTATAAATAATTTAAAATGGTAAATATTAGCTACATTAAACTTTATAAACTGTTTTTCCTATTAGAATCTTAAAATGTTTATTTTTGCCTCAGAAAACTGTTTTAAATCCTGAAATGACAGAAAATGAAGGATTTATTATCTATTAACCACAGACAACTGTAAGGAGCCATCATGGATTTTAAATGGTACAGCTTGGGGGTCGGCAACCCGCATGCTGCTCTTTAGCGCCGCCCTAGTGGCTCCCTGGAGCTTTTCAAAAATGTTTGAAAAGTGAAAAAGATGGGGGTGTGAAATATTTCTGTTTTAATATGGTTTCTGTAGGACAAACATGACACAATCATTCTTAACGTTTTCCAATGCCATAAAAATGTGTAGAATAAATATTAAATTTCAACATTTCTGTCAACATAGATTTGCGTCACAGCCTGTGACACGTTTCTTTCAGCTGGGCGATGCGAGGCAGGTGGCTGTAAACAGACCGACAGGTGTGTGGTGGTGGGTCACAGACAGCAAAGGCGAAAAGACGAAAATAATCAAGGAGAAATTCTACAATTCTTGGACCAAATCATTTGCATTCATTGCCAATGCGGAAGGATTACCTGAACGTTGGCTCTGCAGAGAGAAGTTGTCAAATAACAAAAAGAGTACCGTACTGTTCGGACTATAGAGCGCACCTTACTACAAGCCGCACCTACAAATAGTTTGAAAAAACTGGAAACGTAAATGTATAAGCTGCACCGGGCTCTAAGCCGCATGGTTCAAAGCTTGGGGGGGAAAGAAACGGTAAAAATAAGGTCATGTGGAAAGACATTTCCAGGAAGTTGCTACATTAGCTGCCGCGTCAAGATTAGTTACATCCCCGATGTTGAGAAGTTGTCCACTGATGTCCGTAAACAGAAGTTACAACACGTAAGAACAGAATCGTGCCATAGGCACATATATTTGGAAACAAAGTGGTTGTTTTTATAAAGTGGTTAGTGATTTTTGTCAGTATATATTTAGAATGACACTTGGAGATATTATTGTTTTGTTGCTCAGGTCCGAGGATGGTTGCGTGTCAAAAGAGAAGGATGCTGCTATTTCACTGACTTGCTTGGCATTTGCACAGAAATCAAACTTAAACTATATTAATTTAATTTTATATTATGTTACCTCTTCAAGCAGCTACTGCTGTATTTTTATAGCTGCAGGTTGAGTTTTATTGCCCTCCGTTTGTCGCCCAGATAAGAGGCACGTTATGCACGTTCCGTTTTGTTGTTTTCTGGATCACAGACTTTATGGTAATTATTTACAAAGAGCGATCGTTATGCAAACTGCATTTAGGAGCAGATTTTTTGAGTTCCAAAAGGAAAAATATCTTTCTCTGTCAAATCTTCATATAAAAATGACATCAGAAACCTGATTTATTTATTGCATGTATTTAGTTTTATTAATGCAACAAAATATAAAACATTAATATTGTAACGGAAGGTAAACTTAAAGCTCCATCAGAGTTAGTGGTGCTCATTCCGTCCAGGACCCCCTGCAGGGAAAATAAACATTTAATCATGAATACTAAACACTTAGTCATTTTGATAATAGGCTAATACATCAAATATAAACACTTATAGCCTGTGTTGCCCTGATTATAAACCTTGTAGGCTTTAAATTTTTTGCGGCTGCAGACAGATTTTTTTTTTTTTTCCAACATGGCTCTTTAAACATTTTGGGTTGCCGACTCTTGGTCTAGTTAAAGTAAATCAAGGCTCTGTGCAGTTTTAGTCTGAGCTGACTGAGTCATGATGATAAAATGAAACTGGTTTATCTTGTTTCTCTCCAAACTCCACCCAGAGGTTCCTGGTGAATAACAAAGTTGTTCCTCCCTGCAGAGCCTTTAAATCTCTGCTAATTTATTATCATCCTGATTAATGCAGAGGATGGAAAATTATCCTATAAAACAATCTTGGTTAATGGAAAAAGGTTCTGGATCAGAAAATGTCTCAACCAGATCGACTCTTTAAGGACAGAAAACTAAACAAACTGCAGTTTATTCAGGAATGTAGAGTTTATTTATTGTTCAGTTTTTACTATTAATGATTTTTCTATGTAATAATTTAACATCTAGATGAGGTCCTTTGTTCTCCTAGTTCAGGAGTGGCCAACCCGCGGCTCCCGAGCCGCATGCGGCTC